TGAAAAGCTATACATTCATGTCGGTAGGTTACTAGAGAAATAGAGGGAGTTGGAGAGGATGACTGGAATATATTCTTAAGCAGAAAAGCTCTTTGGATTTCAGATTTGTGTGTGTGTGTGTGAGCGAGAGACACAGAGAGGGACCTTGGCAGTTCAGCCATTTTGACCGTTTGTAGTAACAAAGGGCCAAATGAAGGCGAGTGCAAGTGACTCAGCAGGAAATGACAGGTACCAGAAACGTCTGATTTCTATCATGATGTGTGCTGCTCAGCCTCCCCGTCCCTCTTCATCGTTAACAAACAGCACAGTAACAGAACAGGCAGCAGTTTTATTTAATTTATTTTACTGACAGCATCTTATCACTCAGTAAAGTGATCCATGCCATCAAATCCTCATTCTCACTCAGTCAACTATCAAATCCCATCAGCCATAATTCAAAACTGCTGCATTTACTGGCTCCCAGTTCAGTGTGCAGTAGGAATGTGCAGCAATAAACAGCTACCACATCTATTCAGAGACATCTATGTAATGACTGTAAACAAACTAAGCAGCGGGTTGCCTCCAGCAGTCCTTACATTACCTTGCATGCAGGCAGTGCCACTAGTTGGATTTCACAGGAAATAGGCTTTACAGCATAAAACCAAAAGAGGGCATTGTTCTTCCAGCAGAGACAGAAAGGACGCTCCCAGGGTTAGTGGTAGTGGCAAATGGTGGAACAAGTGAAATGTTGGTGGAATAATAAAAAAATGAATGTCATGTGAAGCTTATAAAGGAAAACAGAACACACACACAGAGTGATGCCAGGTAGAGGATCTTTGTGACATGCTGCAGTAGGAGCACATGTTATTAATGACTGCATTCCATTTCATTCACCCTGATGCAGCACCATGTTATTATGAGGCTGCCTCACTAGCATGACAAAGAGAGGCAGTTAATGGAGCCAAGACATCAGTCATTCTATTAGTTAACCTTTCCCTGTCAACATGTCAAGTCAAGTTTCTGAGCAACAACATTGTGGCGGGTTGAAACGAGGCCACAGCAAAGGAGAGTTCATTTTTTATTAAGAAATAAATATCACATGCTATTCGTGCTATCACGCATATAAATGTGTTGTGTGGAACATGTTCAATGACAAGTAAGGTAATGCTAGCTCATACTGCATTTTAGCTGTTAGCATATAGCGATGAAGTTGGAGCCTTTATAAGGTGGTAGAAATTTTTAAGGAATGTTTTAAAGTTTAAAGCTCATGTAATTGTGTGTTAATGGGTGTGTGGGACATGGCTGACTGCTGATGAATACATATGATTTAATTTCATTAGATACTTAATTATGAAAGATCTTTAAATCTTACACTGTCAGTCTTTGGGACTAAAGCTTTTCCTATATGATATTGTACAATAGTACAGAACAAATGTGACATTTTCTGCTCATAAAAGTACAGCAATAAGTTGTTACATGTTAACATTTCTTATTTTCTATTCAGAATATAGAAACCTCTTTGCTCTGTGCAGCAGGCAAACAGCAAGAATTGTTTATATGCTAACGCTACTTCCTCAAGCTAATGTTAGCTGTTGGTTAGCATTATAACCATGGCTAGCTAGCATTTGGTACTGGAACTCCATGTTAGCGAACTAAAACAAAACAAACAAAATGTCTATCACTACCACAAACATACATACATTTAAACAGTAAATATACTTCTTTTTCAGCAAATTGCTTTTTTGATACTAAAAATTGTAATATTAGCCATTATTATGAAATTGGGGCAGTGAGTTTTCTAAAGGCTTGCTGAAAATGCAAACTATGGTGAAAACATTCTGAAAAACACAAACTCCACAACAAAACCATGTGCTTTACATATGTTTTACATATGCTAAATGAAAAACGAACCTTTTACCATTTATCCCTCAGTGTTAGTGGGTAGATCAGATATTTCTGTGGGTAGAACATCCTAAAGTGGTGAATGCAGATAGAGAGAGAAGGCTGCATCAGCGCCAAAGTAGCAAAGACCATTTTTAAATCAATGTATTCTGTTAAGAATTGAATGAAAAAAAAAAAGTAGGGATACCCTTACTTGGAAAAACTATGAATAGGGGAAAAAAAACCCATACAGGTTACAGTTAATATTGCCCTCAAAGACACAGATGAGTACAAAAGAAAAACTTTTCTGCTAAGATAATAAGGGTCAGTCATTCCAGTCGTGGCGTCAGTGTGGTTCACAGTTATAAAGGTACACTATTAAATTCATGGTATATATGTTGTTTAAACCTGTTTATTTCCCCTGAGCCCTTACTCACCCTGCTGGGACTCGAACATTATGACCCTTCCTCCACCAGCCTGCTTCTCTAACTTTTCTATGTCCAGTGCTGCTGCTGGCAGCACGACCACACTCTCCTCACTGTGGTTCCATGTAATTGACTCGTAAACAGTATAAACACTGGTTTGCAGGCCGCTCATAC